TCCGGCTACTAGCATCGCTTGTCCACGATTGTTACTTACAAACAAACAATTTACTCCGGCTACTAGCATCGCTTGTCCACGATTGTTACTTACAAACAAACAAGTTACTGCTGTCTACAAACAACGTTTCTCCATGATGGTTACATTAGTGAATACAAGTGCTTATCCATGACAGTTAATTAATGTTTAACACCAGTGCTGTCGATTGTTACTTTTAAAATTTGCGTATATGAAAGATTCGCTGCTGTTCATTCATGACTTTTCCTAAATCTCTGTTTTACTCTAACGAGCAGGGTCGCAGACATAAAATTAAAAAAAGCTTTAATCACTTCTATCTAGAACCACCAAAAACCTGTCAATTTGACTACCGTTTGCATGACATGCTTTTATTTATAACAACATACAATTCGTTTTTTCTTTGTATTGCAAGTAGCCTGCAGTTTCAGCCTGTTGTTATTTGTATCTCCTACTGAGCTTCCTGCTCTTTGATTACATTAGCATTTGATTCTATTTTGATCCTTGAAGTCTGAAAGATCAGATATCTGTTTGTCGGCTGATATGGATTAATTTTAACGCAGTCTAACTATAATCCTATCAATTCCCGTAAGAAGTGGTGTCTGCTTGTCGGTCAATTTGAGTATGTCATAACATAACCTACTTATAATACTATCAATTCTCGTGAGAAGTGGTGTCTGTTTGTCTGTCAATTTGAGTATGTCGTAACATAGCCTACTTATAATACTATCAATTCTCGTGAGAAGTGGTGTCTGCTTGTTTGTTGATTTGAGTATGTATAGTACCAGAGAAACTGGTAGAAGCTCAAAAACTTATTAAATGGTTCAAAGAAGATGAATGTCCACTCATTAACTAATAGATATGCTCACAATTTTGTCAAAAAATAATACTGATGTGGGGAATGTGAGTGATCATGAAAGCGATGAGTGCCACTACTATCAAAACAGCTCTCCAGATGCAGAAGAGGTCGTAGCAGAAGCAGCAGTCCTAGACAATTCTCTGCAGTGCCAGCTGCTTTACTTTTGTCATATCCTTCAGGTGTTCCAGCTGTGCCAGCCACTTTGGCCGGTATAGTACCAACCACAACGACTCCAGCTGCATCACCAGCGCGAGCTGGCATTCAAGAGATTGGGAAGGAAAAACTTGGGAAATTATAAATCCAGATATTGAGGCTGCAGGGAGACGAGCTGCAAAAAATGTTTGGACAGAAACTCCATGTCCCACACAGCACGAAAAACGTGACATTAATAGCCCTCTAAGTGCTTTTCACTAATTGATTGATATGCGAATGCTACACCACATCAAATAGAGTGTAAAACGATGATTCCCGGGAAATATCTCTAGAGAAATTACAAGCGTTTATTGCTCTGCTATATGTTCGTGAGGCCTATGGTGGTTAAAGCATTTACCTGGAGATATTTTGGTCTGCGCAATAGGGAATTTTTTTTATTTATTTTTTTACGGAGATATTGCCAAGGAATAAATTTCGAGAAATATTGAGATTTTTTGCGTTTTGATTTGAGAGCAACGAAAAGTGACCGATTTCAAACCAATATTTGCCCTGACATCAGAAATTTGGAATAACTTCACTGAAAACAGCATTGTCTGCTACAAACTAGCAGAGAACATTACTGTGTATGAGCACAAAAGAATGGTGTTGCTGACACAATAGATGACAAATAAACCGGACATGTTTGGAATAAAGTTTTGGTTGTCAGTTGAAGTTGCCCAAAATAGATTCTGAATGGTTTCCTCTAATTGGACAAAGATGAAACTTGCCCAGCTGGTCAGATACTGGCAAACTCAGGTTGATAGCATCATACTTAGGAAAAGGGAGGAATATGACTGTAGATAATTTTTTCCTTCACTTGAATTGTCAAAAGAGTTGCAGAAGAAAAACAGCCTAGTTTGGAATAGTGAACAAATCAAGAAGAGAGCTTCCATCATCTGTGCTAAACTTACAACCAGAGCTGTGCACCAGTACAATTGTGAAACACAGTGACTTTGCGACATTGGCTGTTTACAAGTGCAAATTAAAGAAGAATTTTTGCATTCTCAGCTGTCTTCGCATGTCAGATGGCATTGACACTACTGAAAAAAAACACAAAAAAACGGAGACTGTGCTTTTCTAGAACCAAAGTACGGAGTAGACGTTGCAGACCAGATAACAAGTCAGTAAAAGCTACTTCTCATTGGTGGACAGTTACTATATTTTACAAAGTACGGAGTAGACGTTGCAGACCAGATAACAAGTCAGTAAAAGCTACTTCTCATCGGTGGACAGTTACCATATTTTACAAAGTACGGAGTAGACGTTGCAGACCAGATAACAAGTCAGTAAAAGCTACTTCTCATCAATTTCTTTGTTTTGTACAAGGAATACATTGGAGAAAATATAAGTTTGAGAGATTTCATCTTGAAGTTAGCCTCAGAGTTAAGACAAAAACACATGTTTAAAAACACTGCAAAGCACCAAGCATCTCAGCTTGAATCTAGTACTTTATCCAGTGGAACACGTTAAAGAAAACAATGCCAGGTAGCTAAATACAATGCAAACAGTACTTCAGATAAATGTGCCCTTTATGAAAGACTTGTGTGTGGTAAACTCACAGCGAAAGTTGAAAAGTGTTTCATCTGCATGGATTGTGCCACTTAAGCTAGTTTATAATGGGGGTCACGTAATTTTCTTCACAGTTTTTTTACGAACATATACTGTTTAGAATGATTTACCTACTAGTTTGTATTTAACGTTTCGTATATACATATAGCTGTTTATACTAACTTGTTTCTTTTGATATGTTTATTTTACTGTAGTATTTAAATTACTTAATTTTTTTCATATAATTGTTCATTTTAATACGGTGTTTCGGCAGTAATTATTTTTGATTACAGTTGCATCCAATAATTAGTTTTTCATTTTAATATTGATGTTGTAATATGTAACAGTCAAAATGACGGCAGTATAGCAGTTCTAGGTACGAGTGGCACCCTGGCGCTTCTAGTGTTAATTTTACTAACGAACGATCTTTTATTTTGTTATAATTATTTCATGTTTTAGTGCTGATGGAAATTACGAGGTAACTATCATGACAAAAGCGATCATCCATGATGATGGGAAGGTTGTCTGGAATCCACCGGCCATCTATAAAAGTTCCTGTTTAATAGATGTGCAATACTTTCCGTTTGATCGCCAGGAGTGCCAGATGAAGTTTGGATCTTGGACTTATGATGGCTATCAGGTAAGAAACCCTTATTATGAAGAATTTGAGCAAATAAGCGAGATACATTTTGCCAGTACTATGGGGGACATTACTAAGATACGTTTAATACTAAGGTAGGAATATCGATATGTTTTATTTCTTTATGAAAAGTAGTGCCATGCGTATAAACTACTGAGCTTCAGTTACATATATTTACATGTGTGTTGTAGTTTATATCCATCTACGTGGTAGAATAGTTATTATATTAGTTAATGACCAAATATTATACAATTCTAAGATGGATTATATAAAACATACATAAGCTTTATAGTATGTTCCAAAACGTTGCTGAAAAAGTACTATCAACTTAAAATTATAGAATGATAAAAATACCAGACGTTCTCTTAATAAAAACAAAAACAAATGTCAAATAGAACAAGTTTACAATTTTAGAAGAAGTTAAGATAGTTTAAAATTTCCTTAAAGATTACATTTATGATATTTTAAAATTTTTGTAGTCTGATGATGAACAGTAAAACGACGGCAGCAACAACGAATATTTGACACGTGTGTGTACTGTAACAAACATTTAATTCTTGAACGTTTCGGGATGTGCATATTCCATTTTCAGCGAACTGTATTGAACAGAGTAAATTACTAGGTACAAAAATTTATAAAGTTTAAATATTTTATAAAAAGTAATCAATAAAAACATGAAGTAAATTAAAAGACAAACAATAAAGATTAAGATAATGTAACAAGTGTAACAATATTATACAAGTTATTCAAAAAAGACTTAACTCCAGTGAAGTTGTGTTATTATTTAAAGTTGGGAGTTCATTTATAATAGATAAACTTTCTATAATTAAAAGATCAGTATTGGGTGATCCAGATAAGATTACTTTGAAATTCATAATCCAGACTGGATTAGTGGAGTCTGGTATATTTGATAGTTTTTTACCACTTCTGCTTGATACCAGGTGTAATGGGCGCATAGTTTTGCCAACATAAGTGGCATTACAGCCATCACATGTGTTTTTATATATGATCCTGGAACGCATAGGAGTAGGTAATAAGTCTTTAGATCTGAATAGATTTTGTATTTTGCAAGGTAATTTAAATATCATTCGTAGTTGAACTTGTGGATACAACGTTTTAAATATTCTTAAAATTTGTGACTTAACTATGAAACTTTGCTTACCTAAAAAAAAAGGAACGATTGGACAGTCTTATTCGCAATGACTAAGCATAAAATTGAGATGTAACACTTCAATATGAATGTCTCGAGCTTAAAAAATGGGATGGGATCTTAGAACATCAATGATTCGATCATAAAATGTGAGATGTAATCTTCTTAGAAATTACTATTTCAAGCCACAAACATAAGATGTAATTTTAGAATATCATTGTCTTGAACATAAAACATGGAATACAATACTAGAATATTAATAGTTCAAACCTAAAAACAAAAGAGATGGTATATCGAAATATTAAATTCTTGAGCTTTAGGTAAAGGATGTAATCTTAAAACATATATGTCTGGAGCTAAAAATAAAAGATAGAAGCCGTAAACATTAGCATCGCGAGCTTTATACAACTCAAGCATAAAACATGGGATGGAATCTTGAAATATAACACTTCTAAAATGTGATGTAATTATAGAAAAGCAATGCTAGAACTTAAAATATGGGATGTAAATTTGGAACCTTTATTTTGCTGGTTTTCAACATGGAATGTAATCATAGAACATCAGTGGCTCCAGCATAATCATGGAATGGAATCTTGTAACAGCAATGGCTCGAGTTAGAACATAGAATGGTTTTTTTTTAACGTAAACTTAGCAGCCTTAACACAAGCTATGTATTTTGGAACATGTATATATCGAAGTTAAAACATGGGGTTTTGTAACATATATCTATCGAAATTAAAGCAAGGATGGGATCTCACAAAATAAAACACATGATAAAATTTTGGAATATTAACGTCTCGAGCTTTAATATATGATGAAATTTTAGTAGTTAAATGATTTCTTCTAAACCAGGATTCTTTTCAGCCAGGAAAAGTAACCAAGTGTAGGAAACTATGAAGGTGTGGATAGGAAGGTGCAAAAAAAATTCTCTGAAATGTTATTTATGCATGCAATATAATACTTTGAAAGTTATGGTTTAAACGTTGAAAACTGGCAAATAAATAGAAACCAATAGGTTTAAGGTTGGAAACCAAATAGAAAATTCAATAGGAAATTTGACCCATTTCCCATTTGTTTCTATATGAACCCAATGGAAGACTAATTTTATTCAACAGCAACCGTCTTAGATTCTTGAAAGAATCCAACCAGAGGCTAACTGACTCCAACAGAAATCCGTTAAAAAATTAAATTAATTAAATTTCGGTAAGAATGAAGGATATTTGGAACCATTTAAAATCTGATCAGGTTCCTCGAAGAATTCTGTTGAAAACTAATTGGTTCGAATAACAATCTTAATAATTCCTAATGGACGTCTTTAAAAGAAAATCTTAATGAAAGTAGGTTTTTTCTAAATTATCTACCTGTATCTCAATATTCCAGGCTTGCTAATAACATCGAAAGCACGTGGAGTTAATGAGTTTAAATAAATTCTAGTGGACTTCAATAGATGATTTTTCATAGATAAAAATTCATATGATTTAAGTAACGAGAAATTATTTAATTACTTGCAGTTTTACAAGTAATTAATTACTTGTATTAAATTAATTGTAATTAAATACAAGTAAGTAATTTTATTTAATTACTTACAGTTTTACTAACATGGGCTGAAAGGCAAGTAAACACAACATATTTTATAAACAACGTAGTTATAATAGTATTCCATTGTAGTCAGAAAAAGCACTAATAAAACAATGCAGTTGCACTGTAATGAAAATAATATTGTTACGTCTCCGTTTGTCAATTAACTTTCCGTAACTTCGTTCCGACAAAACTTTAGCGACACAAGTCC